GGAGAACTTGTGACTGACCCAAGGTCACACCAGCAGCTGCATGGGGGAGGAGTGGGGAATCAAACCCTGGTTCTCCCAGATTAGAGTCCACGCTCCTAACCACTACACCAAACTGGCTCATCTTAAGAACATAACATAAGAACATAAGAGATGCCAATGTTGGATCAGGCCAAAGGCCCATCCAGTCCAACACTCTGTATCACACAGTGGCCAGAAATACCAGTGCCATCAGGAGGTCCACCAGTGGGGCCAGGACATCTGAAGCCATCCCACTGTTGACCCCCCCAAAGCACCAAGATGACAGAGCATCACTTGCCCCAGAGTCCCTATCTATACCTTGTGGCTAATAGCCACTGATGGACCTCTGCTCCATATGCTTATCTAATTCCCTTTTGAAGCCGTCCATGCTTGTAGCTCCCACCACTTCCTGTGGCAGTGAATTCCAAGTGTTAATCACTCTTTGGGTGAAGAAGGACTTCCTTTTATCCGTTCCTTATAAACCTCGATCGTGTCACCCCTCAGTCGTCGTTTCTCCAAGCGAAAGAGCCCTAAGCGCCTTAACCTTTCCTCATAGGGAAAGTCTTCCAACCCTTTTATCATTCGATAAGGGAAAGATGAGTTCCAGATGAGTTTACAAATTAAGCAGTGATGTATTTTGGCTGGGAAATGTGGGTGTGGGTTTGTGGGTCATCTTTTTGCGTGCAAAATCTGCACATTTCCCATCCAATGAGAGATGGGTAGGGCGGGGGCCATGGAAGGATGGCACCTCTTGAGAAGCACCGGGTCCTCTCTCAGTCGGGGAGAGCATCTGCGGCAGAGGTTGCAGCTGTTCCTCACGGCACAGCCAAACGACACCGAGATTTAAACTCCTTTGGAGACCTTTGGAAATGTCCATGAGCGTACTGATGGCCTCCTGTCCCATAGAGGGCTTGAGGAGGCAGAAGGAGAAACGGCCATGCAGGCAGCATGCTTACAGGGGGTCCGGAGGCAGCACAGATGATGGGTTGGACTAGAGGACCCTGGAAGTCCCTTCGAATTCTATGGTTCCAATTCCCTCTAGTTACCTCTAGGAAGAGTTGCTTCTCTGTACTAGTCTAGTTCAGGCAGACTTTGGCATCTTGGGGAAGTCGTAATTAAGTGTTATTAGCCATCGCATAGGACTGGGTAATGCTGGATTATTGTGGCACTCGCCTTGATTGAAGACAGTTGGGTGCTGCCTCTGTGTAGAGTACACAGCCGCGTAGAAGCGTGTCTGCGTCAGCAGAGTCTGAAGGCAGGGGAATGTATGGCTCAAATGTAGAGAGACGGAAGCAGCATCCCCCACTCGTCGTCTCTATGCGGGTTATGACGTTGCGTTCACATTCTGCACTCAGCCTTACAAATGAAGGAAATGGATGACCTCGGGAGTCCCTTCCAATCCTATGATTCTATGACACACCTTCAGGAAGCCCACGGCAGGTGGTCGGGCGAGACGAAAGTGCCCAAGGGGAGGAGAAACAAGCGGTCCTTTGCCAACAAGCCTGGCATCAGGAAACAGCCCACACAGAAGTTACAAAAGATGCTCAGGGGGGGAAAGGAGGAAGAAGAGCGAGAACTCGCCCAAAGAAACCTTGGACCTCTGTCGTCACCCTCCCCGCAGTACCAGATGCGGAAGTCAGCCAAGGAAAAAGAGCCCCCTCTGCCTGGCCATGCCCCCTCTGAGTGGCAGGGGGAAGCTGGGAATCCCTCCCGGGAACAGGCGGCAGGGCAGTGCTCCCTCTAAGCCGAATTCGTGTGAGCTGGCTCACAGTGTTTTAGCCTCCGGCTCACACATTTGTTGCCTCGGCTCAGGAAGGATGGGGCTCCAGAGCAGACTGATTTGCGCAGCAGCCAGATTGCTCGCTCCCCACTTCCGTGCCGGGAGCTCACAAAGTAGAATCTTTGCTCACAGGACTCCACGGCTTAGAGGGAGCGTTGCTGCAGGGTCGCCGTGGTCAGAGGGGTGGTCTGGGGGCCATGCACGACAGGAGGCCGCTGGGACCGGCAGCTGGAGAGAGACAGAGCCCTTCCCCAGCCCAGGCACGACAGCCAGAGGTTATTCCGATCACAGCCAGGCCGGGGAAGTCGGGTGCAGGAGGAAAATAAAAAAGTATTTCATGAGAACAAACAGCCGGAAAGGACACGGAGGGAAGCGGGAGAGCCGGGGACGGGGGGAGGCGGCGTCCTGCTACCTGCCTCAAATTCGGCCGCGGGTCCCTGTCTTGCGGGTTGGTCCCCACGGGGGTGTCAGGCTCGGGGAGGGGGGGGCTAGTGGCACAGAATCAACTCTGCAGGGCACCTTCCTGGAGATTCAGGGTTCTGGGGGCAGGGGGGCAGGAACGAACCCAGCGCCCAGACCTCTGTCCCCCACACCCCACTGCCCAGCCACAGTGGGTAAGAGAGACCTGTTTTCCCGAGCAACCCGAAGGCAGACAGAAGCATGAGATGAGGCGGAAGCCCCCCCCCCCCGAGGGTCCGTCCCCTCCCGGCTTC